GTCTTGAGGGTCAAGAAGAGAGGGTTTGGAGTGGGTCACCCTCAGGCCTCCAAACCACCAATGTTTAATAACACTAAGGGAAACTGATTTGTAGCAGACAGACACCTACATTATCATATTCGATTAATTTGATAACATGAGTATAAACTTGCCTTGAAAAGGTTTAATATGAAAATGATTGAACTAAGTCTAAAATTTTATAAACTTATCTTCTAGGTTATCTATACGTTCTTCTTCTGGCTGACGCTGCGTCAGTGGCGTAAGGAGACCACTCTGAACAAACAGCTAGAGCTGGAGAAGGGGCTGGAGTTGGAGGCCCGCCAAGATCAAGGCAGACAGGGTAAGTAGACATTTTATTATGGAATACATTGATTTACCAGATGTGAATAAGTTTATGAAGCTGGAGATGGAGAAGGGGCTGGAGTTGGGGGTGCGGCAAGATCAGGGTGGTCAGAGTAGGTGAAGATTTTATAGTGGAATGTTTATATTGAAGTTTATTAATATTTAGGGATGTGATTCTTCCTTCATTGCATTTCCTACTTTTTATATGTGAAGTTTTTTTTTTTTTTTTGAAACTTGCTTTCATGAAGTTATTAGTAATGGGGAGGGGGGGGGAGAGAGAGAGAGGAAGTACATCTTTCTTTAGCCTTCTGTTGCCACATCCTTGTTGTCAACCTTCACTCACAGTGACAATACTGTTATTGGCTGATAAATCTTTTTGATGTTTCAGATGTTGGTCATACCGACGGCAAAGACAGTGACACCATGACAAAAATAGGTGAGTAAACAATGGCAGATTTAGGCCATCTTCTGGGTCTTCTGGAAGACGGTCAGATTTTCAAGTTTACAATGACGGGTTTCTAAATTTTTCTGTCAGAAGACGGTTAAAAATGGAGGATGGATCAATAAAGATAATTTGGAAGCCTGTCGAAAAATATTTCTGGATCCGCCCCTGGTAAATTAAGAGGATTACAGCACATTGCAAATTAATTACATCCTAGAAATGCGAGCAATGTCATTTAAAATGGGTCATTCCCAGCAAAAATTTATTCTCGTTTTCTTTAAATAATTTTTCTTTCAGGAAAAGCTGTGATGAGTTTCCTATCCAAGTATTGGATATTGGTTTGTTCTGCTATGATGTTAGCTATGGGTATAATAGACAAACCTGTGCTGTACAGATGTGTCTACATGCTGCTCTTCTTGCTCTATATCATCATATTCCAGGTATGGGTACAGTTCATTGTGTATGCAACTGATATTGTTGAAGCACTGTTGATTTACAAGGTGCTTAAACAGCTAAAAGCCATTAGATTTTGTTCGCCTTAACATCAGTTATATACTAGATATGTCTAAGAGGACTTAGTCTAATATCTCAAGAGGCTGAAAGACGCTAGTCCAAGTTTGCTATGGCTTAATGAAAAGACAGTTGCACATATCTGTTAAAATTAGTTTTTGGGGCAACACGAAAGCACCCATTTGAATTATTTTTTGCCAAGAACAATGCCTAAAACTTATTGTCTCAGCAAAGAACATTTTCTTTATGCGCATTTCTACCGTTGAGACATATTTAATTGGAGACAAACATTTCATGCACTTTGTGATTGAACTCTATTCCAGCTGTTGTACAAAGTCTGGAGGTTTGTCCTGTATGTGTTCTGGTGGGTGGTTATTATCTACTCTATGCTTGTCCTCATCCTGATCTACACCTACCAGTTCAACGCCTTCCCCAGCTACTGGAGGAATGGCACAGGACTGTCTGATGACATGTAAGTACAGTACAGGACTGTCTGATGACATGTAAGTATGGGACAGGACTGTCTGATGACATGTAAGTACAGCACAGGACTGTCTGATGACATGTAAGTATGGGACAGAACTGTCTGATGACATGTAAATATGGGACAGGACTGTCTGATGACATGTAAGTACAGTACAGGACTGTCTGATGACATGTAAGTATGGGACAGGACTGTCTGATGACATGTAAGTATGGGACAGGACTGTCTGATGACATGTAAGTACAGTACAGGGCTACCTGATTATATGTAAGTACGGGACAGGACTGTCTGATAACATGTGAGTATGGGACAGGACTGTCTGATGACATGTAAGTATGGGACAGGACTGTCTGATGACATGTGAGCATGGGACAGGACTGTCTGATGACATGTAAGTATGGGACAGGACTGTCTGATGACATGTAAGTATGGGACAGGACTGTCTGATGACATGTGAGTATGGGACAGGACTGTCTGATGACATGTAAGTACGGGACAGGACTGTCTGATGACATGTAAGTATGGGACAGGACTGTCTGATGACATGTAAGTATGGGACAGGACTGTCTGATGACATGTGAGCATGGGACAGGACTGTCTGATGACATGTGAGCATGGGACAGGACTGTCTGATGACATGTAAGTACGGGACAAGACTGTCTGATGACATGTAAGTATGGGACAGGACTGTCTGATGACATGTAAGTACAGTACAGGGCTATCTGATTATATGTAAGTACGGGACAGGACTGTCTGATGACATGTAAGTATGGGACAGGACTGTCTGATGACATGTGAGCATGGGACAGGACTGTCTGATGACATGTGAGCATGGGACAGGACTGTCTGATGACATGTAAGTACGGGACAAGACTGTCTGATGACATGTAAGTATGGGACAGGACTGTCTGATGACATGTAAGTACAGTACAGGACTGTCTGAAGACATGTAAGTACAGTACAGGACTGTCTAATGATATGTAAGTACAGTACAGGGCTGTCTGATGATATGTAAGTATGGGACAGAACTGTCTGATGACATGTTAGTATGGAAGAACTGTCTGATGATATGTAAATGTGGGACAGAACTGTCTGATGACATGTAAGTAAGGGACAGGACTGTTTGATGACATGTAAGTATGGGACAGGACTGTTTGATGACATGTAAGTACAGTACAGGACTGTTTGATGACATGACAGTATGGGACAGGACTGTTTGATGACATAACTATGGGACAGGACTGTATGATTACATGTAAATATGGGACAGGACTGTCTGATGACATGTAAGTATGGGACAAGACTGTCTGATGACATGTAAGTATGGGACAGGACTGTCTGATGACATGTAAGTACAGTACAGGACTGTCTGATGACATGTAAGTACAGTACAAGACTGTCTGATTATATGTAAGTACAGTACAGGGCTGTCTGATGATATGTAAGTATGGGACAGAACTGTCTGATGACATGTTAGTATGGGACAGAACTGTCTGATGATATGTAAATATGGGACAGAACTGTCTGATGACATGTAAGTAAGGGACAGGACTGTTTGATGACATGTAAGTACAGGACAGGACTGTCTGATGCCATATAAGTATGGGACAGGACTGTATGATGACATGTAAGTATAGTATGAGACTGTCTGACAACTTGAGTAGGAGACAGGACCATCTGATGACATGTAAATACAGGATGGGAGTGTCATCTTACTATGGGACAGGACTATCTGATGACAATAATAGAATGGGACAGTATTGGTTCTGATTATCAGTGAGTATTCCCATTGATAGTGATGCATCAAGTACATTTCTTCCACCACTCAGATGCGGCTATTACCTTATACTCTACCTTAATGTTTTTCGTCCATTATTTCCAGACTGGCAGACATAGGACTTGAGCGGTACGATGTGGCGGGGTTAGTGCTCAAGATGCTCACCCCCACTGTATTCCTGATCATGGTGATACTACAAGTACACTACTTCCACAAACCCTTCATGCTGATGAGTGATGTCAAGAGATACTTGTGAGTAATTTGGATATCGTCCCAGAGATATCTTATTGTTAAAATGAGGTACTTGTATTTATTTAGGTTTATGTAGTAATGTTGTATTAGAGACTATATTAGTGATATCTAGAGATGTTCGTGAGTTGTCGGAAGAATGCTATGTTGTGAAGTTATTGATTTGTGAGTGTTAAAGATGGCCGTATACTCGTTATGTTGTAAAGTTGTATTAGAGTGACACCTGGTGTCTATAAGAGCAGGCGGTACACTGGTGTCTGTGGGCATGTGATGTCAGGGTAGAAATGTTGTTAATTGTTAAGGTTTGAATGTTTATATCTATGGTTTGTATGTGTCATGAAGAGTGATGTGTTAAGACATAAAAAGAGACTTGAAATAATAAAAGAGAAGACTTATGTGTGTGATAGTGTGACATTTGGATTGGCAGTTGATTGACGGCCAGAAAATATCAATCATACCATGATGGTACTTACTCAGGCCTACCCAACTACCAGACTTGGCACATACGGATCCTGAATTAACCGGTATATCAGACCACACTACCCATTTTCAAGGTGTGTTAGATCGCAGTTCTGTGTCAGTATGATACTCCGAAATGCGATCTGATACACACATAGTGTGGTCCGATATACCGGTTAATTCAGGATCTTTATGTGCCGAGTATGGTAGTTGGGTAGGCCTGTTACTGGAATTTAAGCGTAATGTGCAAGTAATGACAGCCAGCCAAGCATTGCACAATTCAGCTTTGAACTGTGTGGCTTTGTTTTAGTTTATTTATTTTGCTTATGCTTATGTTTCTACAAATTAGGATTCAAACAGTATTCTCCTTTTTTATGTTTGATGTGATAGATTGTGTGTGATGAAGGCAAGTTAAAGTGGGAGGAGGGAGAGGGTATGGGGGAGGAGGAGGGAGGGTAATGGAATGCTTTTTTCATCAGACATTACTTTTAAATTTGTAAATCAAATAAAATTCCAGTGCAGTTTGAAGACAAACATTCAAAATTTACTAGTATATTATCATTTGTAGTAAGTAGACTCCTGCATGCAAATTATATCAAAATAATTTTAGTTTTCAAAGTGTGTCGTCTGCTTTGTTCTGTCAATTAACTTAGCATTGTTTTCTACAGGTTGCCAGGGCAGGAGTTTGAGTTACAGCTGTGGTTGGTTGATCCTTCTTTTTACTAATTTCGTGATCTTGATCTTTGGGTTTTGGTTTTATGTTAGAATGGAAATCTAGGAATGATGTTGGCAATGATTGAGAGAATGGTCCCAAAACCTTCCTTATTTGTTGCTACATTGTATCTGCTTACAATTTTGTCTATCATGATTTTGTTAACACTGATGTTAAACTTAGAATTGCACATTTTTGCAATATTTGTTTGAAATTTTTAACCAGTCATAGCAACCTGCTACTTATTTAAATTTTAAACTCACTTGGTATTGAAGGGAAAGAAAAAGGTGATGCTACTGGCTTGTAAAATGTTTGTTGCATTCATATGTTTTGGCTTAGCCTACTTCCTTTCAAGGGTTCTGGGTTTGATACTGCTTGGTTGCCTGATGGTGCTAGAAAAAATGGTGCATTGTTCTGGCTGCCATGCCCTCATGATGCAGACATGCTGAAACTGTAGGCCCTACTGGTCAGGTACCAGTAGAATTATGTTCAATCGGTAGAAGGCCGGGGCGGATTGAGGCTGTCTTCTGGATCTTCCGGAAGACGGTCAGATTTTCAAGTTAACATTGACGGCTATTTAATTTTTTCTGTCGGAAGACGGTCAAAATAGAGAATAGAACACCAAAAATTGGAAGACTATAAGAAAATATATCTCTGGATCTGCCCCTGAAAGGGACTAGCAAAAAAAAATTAAAAATTAAAAGCAAGTGGATTATAATTTTTGAAAAATTTTAGAGCCACCATTTTGAATTTACAGTCAGTTTGGCAAAAAGTCATTTGGTGGGACAAATGATTCATAACTGTCAGTGAGAAGGTCCAGCTTTAAAAAAAATTCAGCATGTCTGTAATGGGAAATGAATGATAGGGNAAAAAAAAAGTTAAAAATTAAAAGCAAGTGGATTATAATTTTTGAAAAATTTTAGAGCCACCATTTTGAATTTACAGTCAGTTTGGCAAAAAGTCATTTGGTGGGACAAATGATTCATAACTGTCAGTGAGAAGGTCCAGCTTTAAAAAAAATTCAGCATGTCTGTAATGGGAAATGAATGATAGGGTGATAGAATGATGAATGCTCAGTTTTTTTATCCCTGGGATAATCCTTTCTAACGAAGACAGTTCATTTTTAAAATAATGCATTGATGACTACATGATTTAATTTCACAGCTAATTTTAAAGTAGTTTAATTAAAGCAATGTTCTTCTACTAACACTACCTGTCATGGCCAGTGTCTTGTCTTTACTGTTCTATCTTTGATCCTCAGTAGGATCGATTTTCAAAATTCTTGAATCACATATTTTTGTGGGATCTCACTTGCATAATAATTTTTTAAAAAATCCCATAATAAGTGACTATAAATTAGTGGTTTATACTTTGTTTTTGCTATGAAAATTCTGCTGGGGAAAGTGAGATCTTTGTGAAGAATGCAGTCATATGAAGGTGACTTTTAAGTGCATAAGGCTCTGAAGAAGATAATGCAATCAACACTGAAATGATTTGATGTATTTTTTTTATAGCAGTTTTTATGTCATGTATCTATTTTTTAAATGTCTACATTGCAATTCACTTAGAGGTTTTTTACTTTGTGTTTATATCAACACACGTGAAATGGTACCAATAACTATATGCCAATGCTCCCAGTCATGTCACCTTTTTCCAGAAATAACCTGATATCATGAAGGGATCAGGGACTAGGTTCTCCAGAAAAAAAATAAGAGTCCGTATAATCTTAACTAAATAACTGATATTTAGTCGACTAAGTTGCATTTCACAAGGAAACTAAAAGCTCACTTGCTTCTTTCTTATCTTTTACATTAGCCCTTTGACCAAATTATGATTATATTATCAAGTTTTTTTTTCTCACTTTTGACAGTACCCCATTTAGGTATGCCAGATACATTTATTGGGGACCAATCACTCTTTAAAAAAAGCTCTTAGACTAATTCCACAAAGTCAACTTTATTTAGTTGGCTGTCTAATTTAAGCAGCCTAAGCAAAGCCCAAGAACATTTTTTTTTTTGTTAAGTAGTCTTTCATAAAGGCATAGTAAGTTGACATTGTTATGGTCTTGTTTACCAAATTTTTGTATAAATTGGACGGTCCCTGTGGCAAGAGACCTGTTACAAAAAACTATTGTGAGACTGTCCAATTTAAAACTGTTATAACAGTTACCCTGGAATTTTTCTGGTAACTTAGGCTATTTCAATACTCCTAGTTTGATTATGAACATTCCTGTGATTCTACCTCTATTAAACCCACCGTTAACCACCACTCTCCCCTACTTCTCAGTGACTTACCTGCCAAACCTAAGAAGATAAAGTGAGTACACTTTAAATAATTATTATATATCTAGATACAACTGATGTGACCAGCACTGCATCATCTTGATTTGACATTTCCATATGTCACTGTGACATTTTGTTCCTTGACATGTCTTTCATTTGTCACTGAGTGGATTTTTGATTAAAATTATTTTATCCCTGTTTTTAATTCATGAATTGTGGTACGAAGTTCCAGCCGAGTCCCAGATAATGAAATTGGTCATTGATTTAATTGTCTGCTGTTGTCTATTGGAACCAGACTGGTTGAAGTCAGGCTCCGGTTTCACAAAAAAAAACTTAAGTCAGGTTCCCTGGCTAAGAACTTAATTACCAAGGTTACATGGTCACATGGGCACATCTTACCCTATCAGGAGCAGTGTAACAGCATTCTCATGAAAATCCTAGTCAACTAAGCCAGGGAACTGTTTTGTGAAACTGGGGCCTGATATTACATTCAGTTTTTTCCATAGAAATTTGGTTTTAGTTTGAACTTCAGGAAGTGGACACTTTGATTACACCCTCCCCCTCGACCACTTACATGTACATACCCTCTGAATCTGTAAACCACGAGTTTAAACAGTCTGAATAGAGAACAGTGAGAACCATCTCAGAGAATTTCAATGGGTGAAGGATAACATCAAAGTATCTTCCTGAAGTTACCTTTTTTTTTTTAAGCATTCTGTTTCTAAATGTGCCCCAATTGTTTGTGCTAAATCTGTGTGATATTTTTTTCCACAATGCGTGAGATTTGATTGACATGTTTTTTTATCATATTTAAAATGTATGCAATGCTGTGTGCAATTTTTATATTTTATTACTCTAAGAAATGGACGGAAATTAAGGGGAACATCACTAACTGGAGCCTTAAATGAATAAAATGATAATTTCAAGTCATATTCTGCACATTTTGGTCACTTTAAGGCCAGATGAGGTATGTGCTACACATGCCTGTGGGCTGCCTTTCACACTTGCACCTACAATGTCATTGTTCACCAGAAAATGACTGCAAATAACTTTAAATTATCACTTTATTAATTTTTAGGCCACAAAAAGTGATATTCCCTTTTCACGTTATATTATATTATATCATATTATATTATGAATTGCGAATGTTATTATATTTCATTTCTACAGCAATGTGTAGTTCTTCAGTATGCTCTGGCATGGTTGGTTGCCAGGTGTGGCTCTTTGTATTCAATATGGATCTTTTTTGATTTCTTGAAAGCAATTTTATCGTGGTGCAATAGCTTTAACATCATCTTGTGAATAAAGATGGTACAAAAGTAAATTGTTCCTGAAGGCACAAAATTTGTTTTTACCTAGCTACAGCAAGTTTTGTTTACTTTCTACAAGGACAATTTACTTTTTACCTAATTAGTTATTGCTTTTTCATAATATTAATTCAAATGACACTTTTTATTGCTGATTGAACAGTGCATCTGACTGAGAAAACTTTTGTTATATAAAATTGTTTTCTTAAACATTTTATGTATTAATAAATAGTTGTAGATTGAACTTGTATTACCTCTCTATAATGACTACATCACAGACTGAAGTTTGTATGCTGTTAGAATTGATTGTTGTATTACTTACCACTTAACATAATTGATATCTCACTAACGAACTTTTGTATTACATGTGTTGAGAATTAATAGCATTTTGTGTAGTTTCTGTAAGGAATTTCTAAGAAGAAAATGATATTCATAGTATGCTAAAACTGTCATAGTATAATAATGCCACAGATTTCTCAAATTGACTAACTGGGTATATGTTCAATGCATGTTGAGTTCTAATTTAGCAGCACTGGTCACTTATACATGTACATATTTGCACATGTAGAAATGTGCACATTTTGGAATGATACATATGATATTGGGTTAAACATATTAAGTGTATCACTATTCCATGTGGTTGTGAAAAGAATAACTCAATTTTTGTGTTTTTTCCTTTCTATATCAAAATAGACCTCATAATTTCTTTTCATTGTTATATAAATGTTGGTTTTAAGGTAATGTTTTTTTTCTATGGTATGTGCTGGATGCTTTACACTTATATTTTTCTTCTTAAGATTGTTGATTATTTTAATAATTTTGGTATTATAAAAAAGACACTTTAAGTTTCATATTCCCTTTATTGTTGAACAATATATACAATGTTTCATGGTATATAAAGCAGCTGATCTTCCTAAATTGTATTTACTCAATCTTTTTTCTCCCTGTGTTCAGTATGTGCTTGAGGCATGTCCTTTCTTTATATCAGGTGGATAAAAAAAGGATTACTAATTTCAAATTCAAATTACTTCAACAGTTGTGGAATTTTCACAATGGGATTATAAGGAAAATTATGTTTTTAATAAATGCTGAAAATTTCACCACCTTTTCTCATTTTGGCATACTGAAAAAAATTAATGTATTAAATAAAAAAAATCCCTTTTTGGCCCTTGTGATTTTTGACATCTCCCTCATGTATCTGAAATCTGCAAAGTTTCATTTCAAAAACTTGTTAACTGTTGAAGTTATTGAACTTTGAAATTAGTAATATGTTTTTTTCTGGCAATAACGTATGCAATAAGTGTACAGATTAAGTTTCTACTTGACAGTGAATGTTGGACAAATTGAATCATGTTCAAGTTTGAAGGCAAAGTGTCAAAAGATGTCTGAAATATTACAGTAGTCACTCTCAAGCTTTGTGTAAACTATTCTTCAGTAGAACAAAAATTTTACATGGAGTCAGTCTTAACAGAAGACTGACATGATAGTTAAGTCAATAATTGTAATTCAGAATGCTGTATGTTGAATAGCATATTAGATCCAAGGAGTTGATAATTTATGTAGTTTTACAAATATTTCTGACCAAACGACAATTGTT